GTCAGTGAGTTATCAGGAGTTAATGATGAGTCAGTGAGTTATCAGGAGTTAATGAGTCAGTGAGTTATCAGGAGTTAATAATTAGTCAGTGAGTTATCAGGAGTTAATAACGAGTCAGTGAGTTATCAGGAGTTAATAAGTCAGTGAGTTATCAGGAGTTAATAGAATAATCTGATTTGATGAAAAGTAAACTCACGCTGGAACTTGCAACTGTTTCTCATGAAGTGCAGACAGATTTCCTGCGGCTCGTCTCTTTGATCTGCTTCAATGATTGCATCTGGATCAGTTTCTAAAAACAAGAATAAATAAAATTGTTATTTATAACCTTTTTTCTTATTTAATAAAAGTTTTTAGCCTTTTATATTTTCTGTGTGCATATTTTAAACCTCTGGGAATTTTTCAGCTGTAAATGTTATTTGTTATTAAATTAAACAAGTTATTTATCAGAAGTGCAGCGATGAGAAGGAGCAGGTTTACATGTGGCATCATGTCTCTGCAGTAGGTTTGGTTCTGACCTGCAGCAGCAGCAGCTGTGAGGACGTGGAGGTTCCTGTAGATACAGGGCAGGTCTTGGATGATGTCTCCACTCAGTCCTCTCTCCTCCAGCCTCCTGTGAGTGTGCGGCTCGATAGTGTGTAGTCGTTTACACGTGTGTCCGAACATGCAGGCTCCCTGAACAAAGTGCTGACACAGGTGGACTTTGGAGCAGTTCTCCTGGAAGCTGCAGTCACCGTGAGGACCTGAACCTTTGTTGTAGTGCAGGCACACCTGGAGAAGAACCAACAARAGTCCATCAGACTCAGGAGACAAAACTACCATCCTGTTTTATAGGTTTCATTTTATTAAAATTCTGAACAAACAGAGTGAAACATCTCTAAATTTGTTTTACGCTGGTACATGATGAAGTCTGGGTGAAGCTGCTAAAGTAAAATGCATTACCTTTGGAAAGATTTCCCAATTTTTTATTTGTTTTCTGTAAGTGATGAAGGTCTTTCTGTTGTTTCTTCTTTGCTGTATTTGTGCTTACTTTTTGACTTTTATAAGAATTCTGCAGCATGTTCACTTCTGTGCTTCAATTCTCCTTCTCTGAACAACTCATCTTCATCTCCTCCTCTTCCTCTGACTCACCAGAACAAGTCAGGACAGAATTCATTCTGGTTCCACAGCCTTAAAAACCAAATCACCAAAACACTGAGCAAACTGCAGAAGAAACGCTACACCTCCCGAGAGTGAGTCAAAGCCAGGAGTCAGCTGGTCTGAGCCAAAACTAAGCTGTGATTCAGCAGAGATTCAGCAGAGATTCAGCAGAGATTCAGCTGTGATTCAGCAGAGATTCAGCAGAGATTCAGCAGAGACTCAGCTGTGATTCAGCAGATATTCAGCTGTGATTCAGCTGTGATTCAGCTGTGATTCAGCAGAGATTCAGCAGAGATTCAGCTGTGATTCAGCAGAGATTCAGCAGAGATTCAGCAGAGACTCAGCTGTGATTCAGCAGAGATTCAGCAGAGATTCAGCAGAGACTCAGCTGTGATTCAGCTGTGATTCAGCAGAGATTCAGCAGAGACTCAGCTGTGATTCAGCTGTGATTCAGCAGAGATTCAGCAGAGACTCAGCTGTGATTCAGCTGTGATTCAGCAGAGATTCAGCTGTGATTCAGCAGAGATTCAGCTGTGATTCAGCAGAGATTCAGCTGTGATTCAGCAGAGATTCAGCTGTGATTC